ATTTCATGACTTAATTTTACTGACTTAATTTAAACCTGTAAAAATAAGGACACATGTAAAAATTGAAACAGATTCCTGATGTTAACAAGGTGGATAGAACTCTTGTATAACTGCTTTCTGATAATGAATTCTCCATTTACTAAGGTACACAGACTGAAGCATTTCTTGGCAAATTACACTTTCTGTGCTGCTGCCAAATAAAATACTTGAACAAATGCAATTTTACATCCTACGCTTGATGCGAGTCTAATGTCACTATATTTGGAATGAAACATTGCTCAAAAGTTGGTAACAAAAATGTTTTTGTTTTTAACAAGTCTCAACTGTTTCTCTTCTCCCTTATCTCTTGCAAATAGAAGACATCGGATTCTCAAAGGAAAAATCTGCAGAGAATCAATTACCATTTCCGTGTCAAATCTTTGTCTCTGTGTAACCAAGTTAGAAGTATCTATTAAGAGAAAGCCTTAAGCCATACTGCATCATTATGATTTTAATTCTTATAACACATTTCAAGAAGTATTTTGTTATCCTAATGACAGAGAAAAGGAACAAAAACTGCATCTTATTAATCCACATTTTTACTAGCAGAATAACAAAGCATTTGAGGGATCCAGATGCAGTGGGTCAGCCAAGAGACAGCTTCAAGGCAGTGCTGTCTGCTTATGATGACATTGCTCAAACCCGTGACACTCTGACTTTTGTGCACTAAGTTTGTCATATTGGTCTTCAATAAAGGAAACGGCATCTTGCCTTGTGTCCTGGAAAACCAATATTCTTCTGTTTGGTCTTCAGAGCATAAGTTCCCACATAACAAAGCCCTTTCTTCAGTCATGTGAGCATGGGTGAATCAAGAAAACATCATGGATTTGAGGTCAATGTGAAAGGAATATTTTTAAAAGGAAGTAAATCAAACATCTATATATAATTGGAAAGGCACTCACTCTGGAAACAGAAATTTTAGATTTGTCTCATTAAACCATTTCCTAACTGCAGCCACTTCTAAAGAAGATCATAATTCTAGAGACGATAGTGCTTAACTGGAGCAGATAACATTCTCACTAAGGACACAATCCCTCGACTTCCTATAAATCACTGTACAAAAGCCTAACCTTTCCTTTCTCATGTGTACTTACAGTAAGAAATGTCTGTGTAAATGTGTCTAGTCAATAAGATGAACAAAAATCTTGGTAGCTCATGGGAAAACTCTTGTTTCCCTTATCAGTACAGACAGATGCAATGGTCTTTCCTAATTCCTTTTATTGTTGCCTTGAACATGGATGAAATATAGTTGGAGCAGAAGCAGTCATATTTTGACCACATAATTGTGAGATAATGTGATAACATGGATATAGAGTGTTCTTTATCTCGTTGACTTGTGCAATATCACCAAACTGCTTACCTTCAGATTGAAAGATATGTGAGGAAAGATAGAACCACCTTATATTTCATTACCACTCTCCAGAGACTGTTACTTGCAGGTAGAGCATTACTAATTGACGTGCTCTTCATTTGAGATAACTTAGGGTCTCAGAAACTTTTAGTTATACAGTTAGGCCAAAGGAAATAGTACAACTGTCTTAGATACTTTGCTCATTGCTGAGTAAAAATACCCAACATTCAAAGTTTAAGGAGAAAAAAAATTATTTTTGCTCACAGTCTGTAGAGGTTTCAGTCCACAGTCAGCTGGCACCAACACAGGGTGGCATCATAAAGAGACAACACAGAGGAGAAACTGTTCATGGCTTTGCAGGCTGAAGGCAGCAGCAAGCAAGGAACCTGCTTTCCTTGTTTGTTTTCCTTTTATCCTATCCAGGCTACAAGCTTTTCGGGTAGTGTCACCCATACCAGGGTACGGCTTCCCATTATCCACATCTAAAATTATGCTAATCAGTGGTCTAATTTGGTTCCCACACATTTAATCCACAATCACACACCCTAGATCCAGCCACCTCTGAAAAGAATCACCCTGAGCACATGAGACTTTGGAGGGACACATAGAGATAAGCACATTCCATTCACTAACAAGTTAAATCCAAAAAGTTAGTATATATTAGTATATATTTAGATTGCAACAATTTAGTGCCTGCTAGGCAGAGCACAGCACAACTTCTCAGATCTTACAAACTAGATTCTTCAAAACATCATCATTTCTGGTTCCACATGGATTATTATGAGACTTCTTTTATTATAATAATTGCCTAAAATCTAAATTCAAGAAGATATGATACATTAAAAGATAAATATCACTGTGGCACTCTAACATCAGATCTGAAATACCTTGAGAAACTGGACAGGTGGTAACATTCCTTCAAAAATTACACCCATTTTCATGGGTTTGCTTTGAGAACAGCTCTAACTTTTAAAAATGTTATAGTGATAAAAATAAATAATGAATGCAAACATGTCAATATCTGCATATGATAAATTAACAATAAATTGGATGTTCTATTAGTAATAGTTTTTTATTTATTTTTGGACATGCTTTTAAGAGTATTTCCTCATAAACAATTTCAGTATCTGAGAATAGAAAGTAGACTATTCCTTGTTCTTCTGTATCATGAGCAATATTTAGCATCAACTTAAGAGCACAGTATTCAATGAACTTCACAATAAAAATATGCACATATAATCATGTTTTCCCTTCCTTCCCTTTCTTAAAAAAGAGAGAGAATGGAAGACAAAAATTGGAAACAAAGTTTTTGTAAATGGAGAGTGGAAGAAGAGTTGAAGGTAAGGGAGGAATATGGAAAAAATACCAATGAAGACATATTATGTACCGCTACAAATTCTCTATGATTAATGTGACCATAATATATGGTAAATATGTATCATTAGAAAGCAATGCATGGAAATTAAAAAGATTAGAAAAAGAAACATGCATATCTATAGGTGCACATCAATGTTAAATTGAAAGAAGATGCTGGAATCAGAGACTGTTAAGGGCAATCAAAATATAATAGCATGGAGCTCCTATTACCTAAACTGACTTACCATTCCATTTCATCTAGTTCCATACTGATAAATATCTCATATTGCCATGGCACATGTGAGGGGCTTGAGATACAGAAATGTGCAAATATCTGGAGTATGCCTTATGTTCCTGAGTTCACATTAAAGATTTACTAACATTATAATATGGGGTCAGATAACATACTGATTACACTTTTGAATATTTTAAATTTAGAATAGAGCGTGATAATTTGATTAAAATTCATAGGGAAAAAACAAATTAATGAGCACAAAACTGATTTGCTACCTCAGACAGCCTGGACACCCATATGTTTTAAACTCATCCTGTGATCAGACTGACCCTTTGTTTTCCATTTTTTCATTTATGAGTTGGCAAAATAACCCCCACTCACCTGCTTTAAAGTGAAGATTAATGAGACAAAATCTGTAGGCAGATCAAAGAGTACTAAATAAGTACTGTAATTTTCAGGGAAAATATTATGGGTATTTGTATCATATATGGTAATGAAAATGGAAATCATTTACTCTGGGGACCCTGGCCACATTATCGTTAAATTATTTGCATTCTGAAAAATGATTTGCATGCTAATGAGAGCGTATTCCCTGAACAGCCTTTCCAAAGGTTTCTCTATAGTTTTACTACCAGGTATATAGGATATCATGTGATGCAAAGATATAAAACCTCAAAAGGTCTATGAAGTAAATTACCCTTTATTTTTCTTTGCAATATGCTTTTGGGGGATTAGTGAATATTTTATTTTAAATTTGCCAGCTTCTTGATAATGAGCTCTTCTAACTTTATGAGACTTTTTCCTCCCATTTATATATATATATTTTTTTCTTTTGGGATTACCTCACAAATAGTTACCTTTCTTAGTGTAAGTCTAAGGTCTTTTCAGCCTCTGCCCAAATACATAAAGATTCAGTCCCTTGACAGAAGATAAAAAATATTCTACGTCACAAATCTTTTCTTACTCCAGGGTTTTTCATTTGAATTTTGTTCAAATGTAACCATAATGAAAAACAGAAAAGGAAAACTCTTCTTTAGATTGCAAATAAAGTTTTGGCTATTTGAGTGAGTTTTAATTCATCTATTCTGTCTTGAGAAATATTCATTATTCTGACCTCCCCAGAGATGGTGTTCCCGATGTCTCTGTGGATTCAGCTACTGCAATGAGAGCACACATTTGATCTCAGATCCTGTGGCTATATATTGCAAATAAAAATAAGTAGATCCTCTCCAGGGTATTCTTACGCTAGCTAAAATATGACTTGAAAGGTTAGTGGGGAAGGGGTTAGCTCCCAAAGGGAAGGCTGTTTCCCCACACTTGCTTGTTGGAGGATGATCACGCTAATTGGAACACTAGAAGTTCTGGGGATTTGCAAGTGGAACAGGTGAAAATGTAACTGGTGATAATTAAAGGCTAATTATCTTCAACCCACAATTGGCCACAGGAGGTTCTTCTGAGCCACATAAAAGAGAGCCTGAGAGAAAAAGAAAAGACATTCAGAAGAACCTACGATTCTTTACACACCTGTACTGCTACCTAGAGCAGAAATTGAACCTGGTTAGCCACTGACGGTTGATGCTTGCCTTATCCTACAAGTCACCTTCTCTCCAAACTCTGCCTTAATGATTACCTCCTATAAATCAAGTCAGCACTAAGATTTAGTTTGCATAAAACTGTTGTCTACAAAACAGATGCTTCTCTGACATCCCAAAGAAAATCATTTCTCATGTGCAAAAATCATTGTGCTAACTTCTGAAGGTAGTTCAGGAATGTAATTTGTGAATCAAGGTCATGAAAGACATGGGGCGCTTTCATATCCCTGATGGTATTTGAGCATTATCTGGACATTTAGATGTTAAGAAATTCAGGAAACTTTCCCAGAGGCTCTACAGCTGAACTGGGTGGGGTTGGCACATAGGACAAGAGAAATACATGTATGGCAGAATTGTCAACTCATTAACTGCGACCTAGTGAATGTGTGCCTTGGTTACTTTTCTCTTGTTGCTGAGACAAAAATACCTGATGCCCAAAATGAAGGAAGGAAAGGTTTCTTTAGCTCACAGTTTTTGAAAGTTTCAATCCATATCCAGCTGCTTCCAAGACAGGGTGGTGTGGCTGAGGGGCAAACAGCAAAGCAAAAAGGGCAAAAGCGGGAAAGTAGGCCTCTGTCTCCCTTATATTCTATGCCAGCTCCGCCTATGGGCGGGTGCAGCACTCACACCACCAATCCCAACACTAGGCAACGAACCAATCACAAACGCTGACTCCATGACTGCAGGGTAATAGCTTTCCAGTGGCAAAAATCTAATGGCCTAAACCATAGAGGGAACCAACCACTGTATTTTCTACTCTGTGGAGACAGAAGGTCCTATGGTACGGAGGAATCAAACTGACAAAATGTAAGGACCAGAAAAGGCAAACCCTTGCTGCTTCTTGAGCTCTTAATATTTTAGGACCCAGTATATCTAACCTCTCTGTGCCTGGGTCATTCTCCCCTTCCCTAGAGAGTGGTTTGAAAGCTTCAGTTTCTGTTGAATTGAAGGAACATTTGACAGAAATAATTTAGGATTATTAACCAAGGCATTTTCGTGATATTGTAAGTCTGCATGTGGCCCGTCATCACAGAAAGCAGAGAATCTTGCCTAAGGCTGAGGCCTTGTTTGAAAGGTAGTGGCAGTACAATAAATGGGATTGGACCCAAAAAATCAATTATGCACCAGAAAATCCTTAGCCTGACGAAAATGACAATAAGGTACCCTGGGAAAACACAATTATTTATTTGCACATAATAAGTAATGGGAGATGGACCACTAGAAAACTAAGGGGAAAAGATGAAGAAGAAATGTCCTGTACCAGTGTAAGTCCTCAGCATAAAGTAAAAGATGAGAAGAAATGTGTCAGAAAACTGGTACATAAGTGTTTGAAGTGCTTTCCAAGCCTTCTATATAGTCAAACGGAAACAAATTAGCAGAGACAGAGGAACACCACAAAGTCTCTTTTTTGTGATTTGGGGAAAGTCTCAGCATATGTGCACTGGATTATACAAGCTAGGACTACTGGAAATGGAATTGATGTTATGCATAATGAGTCCCAGTGTCAAAGGCTTGACCCTATAGTTTCCATTTCTGCAGTATACAGGAGGTCAAGTTTCCCCAGAATCAAGAAAGTTACTGTATCCTCACCATCCCACCCATGGATGTCACGTGCATGACACACAGACATTCTACAAGGTACAATCTGGAGCTAAAACAAGAATATCCTCTGAATAAAAAGCAAAATGACTGACATTAATTTTGGCTGAATTCACTCACTGGAAATATGAATAACTTGAAAATAAAAGCCCAAATTATGAATGTTCAATTTTCTAATATCAATAATTTTAAATGAAACTTGTCATATATATGTGAAGACCACTTACTTCCTACAACTCAATTTGTCATGGATATGGATATATGAATGCCTGTTACTGCCTATAACTCATTTCAACTATTAAACTTACCTGTCCATGAATTCATGTTGCATGCAACATGTAATTTTAGATTTCTATGCCGTTTTTGCATGCAGGATCAATATAGGCCTGCTAGAAACAAAGTTGGAAATTTTAATTTAGGAGGCATGCCACTGATATTTTGAAGTAAATAACACATTCATTAGAAATTGTTATGTCAGAAAGCTAATTGTTATTCTTGGCTGGCTCTTCACACAGCCAGATTTTTTTTTTTTCCAAGTAATGCTTTACACTTGGAGAACAGTAGCTTTGCAAATGCATGTAAGACATTAATGACAAAAGAAGCTTCTTTTTAATTAATGGCATAGCTCTAACTTGATATAACTGGAGCAGTAACAGGGAGAGCCAGCATTGTCACCCCTCCTTACACTCCACAGCATGTCTACCTTTCACAAAGTTGTCTCGGGAGGATTCATTCTGAAAGAGAGGGATTTCGAGCCAAACACAGACACTAACAGGATTCAACTAACTAAAAATTTGGTGCCAAATAAGAAGTTTGGTGCTTCAAGTGTAGTATTCGAAAAAGTAGATTTGAATGGAAAAAAACAAAGAAATGTCCCTCAAAATACACTGTTTGTTGACAAGCTTGTGATCCAGTGTAAAGTCCATTTTAATCAAAATGCAGAAGTGAATGGTGAAGGAGACAAGATGTGAAATCAGTGATGTTCCAGATGAAGGGTGATAGGAAGTACTGGTCCTCTGATCCATTCAGAGCCACAGGAAGTCCCCAAAGCTCTAAGACTTTACCAAGTACAATGAAATAACTGAGCAACAATAAAAATATGGAAATAAAAGCAAAACTAATATACAGAATAATTTTATTTAGGTCATATCATATGATAAACCTCTTGATTCCTATCTTTTAATTGTTTAGCAACTCCATGTTATACCCATGGTAAAGGTAAGCAAGTTATGGCTCCAGTAGGTTATTTTAGTAGCATATGTTACTAATGCTAATCCCTGGCAAAGTTGAATAGAAACACCAACTGTCTGAATCTAGAAAGCTGAACTATTAATCATTAACATACAGACATTTAACATGGGGAGGTTTCCTGGTTGGTAATGATACTGACCGGCTAAAGCGAAGACACTAAAGAACACAAGGTTTTCTGGGAAGGGGAGTGGAGGTCAACGGTGATTCCATTCAGGATGTGTTCTGTGCAAAGTGGCTGTGGAATTTACATACAGACATGGAACTGGAACTCAGAAGAGAGCTCAAAGCAAATGTCACTTGTAAAACAGCATGGGAGAAAACTAAAGGCAAGAATGACAGCACATACGAAGATGATGGGATTAAGTTAATAAATCCCAGAAATCATTATTAGCGCTTAAGGAGTATTTGCAGGAAGGGCTGCAATCACAAGAAATCAGGAGAGTTCATTTGCAGAAACTTAGGTAAAAGGGATTCTTTTCTTGTTTCATTCACCAGTGTATTCCCAAAAGTTTAATAAAAGTAGATGTAGAGGCTCAAAATCTAGTTGTGTGAATACATTGATTTACCCCTACTGCTGCAGGTAAGAATTACTCTTTGTAGTTGAAATAACTTGATTCATATCTAAAGTATATTTTTCAAATATCTTTCAAAACATCATTTCCTGAACCTAAAAATAGCATCATCTATATGATTAAGATATTTTTAATCTATTTTCTAAAGACGTGCACTTTTCTTCATAATTAAAAAATAAACATTCCACATGCTTAAATATTTTCAAAGCAGTTTTTTTTTAAAAGAGGGCAATTATACAACTACTTACTACTGAAAAATAATAATTATTCATAAATATCTTGCTAAAAGTGTACTTCCTAACAGGACAGTTACTTCCTGAAGAAATTAAAAGGCTTGCGAGTTCTGTTAGTTTTTAGACTTAGATTTTCCAACTTTTATATACATGTACATTCTAGAGCTCTTTCATTAAATTTTCAGTAGGTCTATGATTTATGAAGCAGTTAATATGAATTTAGGAATCATATCCTTCCAAAAATGCATCATAATCTGTGTCTAAGTAACAACTGTTTCAAAATGAAAGCCACAGTCATCGCTCGGTTGTGTTGGCTGACAAACCTGGAGTAATTAATCTTTGTTTTCAGTGAATATTTTATTAAATTAATTTTGAAAAATATGTGCAAATTATAGTTTAAAAGAGGCTTTATACATGACAGTGAAATGTAATGAAATGTACTCGAGCCCAGCCATAAGCATCTGCCAAGATTTGAAAAATGAGCTGCTTCTTTTTAAAACCTAAGAAATTCAAGGGATTTGTAGTTCGCCAATGAATAGATATGTTTGTTATTTTGTGCATGAATGATTCCCACTGTCCACATGAATTTGCCCAAGACACAATGGAAAGAAATATATCAGACTTTGAAGACAGACAGATGTGGACTTGGAGTCCAATTTCCCATTTTCTAACAATGTGACTTTGACAATATTTCAGTTCTCTGAGCTTAATCGTAAATCAGAACCGTTTAGATACCTACTGTAAGGTTAGCATAGGTATGATAGCATAAAGTATGTACGTTTTGCCCAGTATCACATATTAGGCTCCTAGCATAATAAATACTTATTAGTTGGGTGGATGTGCAGAAGCTCATGTGTACCCAAACTACTCCACAAAGGATACTCTTTTTCTTTTCCCAATTCCACAGCTGCTTTATTTATTGATTTCTTCCCAGACATTTCAGTTATTAGAGTAAATGAGTATTTTAAGCTTGAATTGTCAGAATAATAACCTCAGTCCACTAGTAGCATTAGAGATACCACAGCTCCTACACTAAAAATATCATCATCTCTCAAAATTTAATACACTAACATAATGCTGCCCAAATATCATTCCAGACTCCTCCAGAGTAGCAGGAGTCATTCACTACTTTCGTTCACATGCCATCCATTCACATTCAGAGTTTGATTACAATAACAAAGTTCAGTTTTACCAGTGTTTTGGTTAAATAAATGACAAGGCACATCAGATACCTTGCCTTTGGTTGACATGCATAACATCTGCCTCCTTCCTGTAAATTCCACTTACAATTCTGGTATCAAGAGTAACTGGTGTAATGAAGTACACACTGCCTGTTATTGAAACTAGGACAACCAATAAGGAAGATCCCAAAGCAAGTTTATTATTTATCTTACATTAAAACTATTATAAAATTGAAGCAGTGGCATGATTCAATTTAGTTTTGTACAGGACTATTGATCTTGATTTTCGCACAAAGCAGTCCTTTTGGACTAATGCTTTACACAGAAAATCAATTTGCTTAAAATGCTTCCTTTTATACATAATAGCTAACTCATCCAGGGCTGAAATTCTGCATGTGAATAAAACTGCAGTCTTCTTGCCAATCACAAGAAGCACTATGTAAATTATAATTGGAATTTAGAGCAGAAACCTAGAGGCCACAATCTTTCCACAAGATAATTGAATGTCAATAATGATCCAAGAAAACATTTAAAGCTGCACCTCAGCATGAGTATAAATGTCCTGAAATTTAACTTTGAAAAAGTGTTTCTATTCTTTGTGCGTTGAACATCTGTCCCTCTGGAAGTATTTCGATTCCACATACAAGCAAAAGGCTTATAATTAAAAGCACTGCTTTTGATTTTGGTTCCAAAGGTGTTACTAACTGCCAAT